GTAGAACGGACAAACAGGAGCCTCGCCACGAGGATGAGGGCTCTAATGAAGCAGTCGGCCATCCCAACCAAGTTTTGGCCATTTGCAAAAAATCACGCTGTTCGGTTGCACAACTTGCTGTCCTCTCAAAGCCTCGAAACCAACAACTCACCTTACAAAGCTTGGACGGGCAGAAAAACTTACACGCGTCTTCTCCGGGTGTTCGGCTGCATGGTACAGTACAAGCCACACATAGCAAGAACAAGAAAACTCGCTGACCGAGCACGCTGGAGCATTCATCTCAGGATTAAAAAAGAGTACAAGGCATGGATCGTGCTGGACTACGCGACACACAAAGTGACAAAATCACGTGACTGCATTTTCTACGAGAAGCAGACTCTGCCACTGTTCAAGGAACATCGCGAAGCTGACACGGCACCGGAAAGGGTTTTCAAGGGGCACCGCAGGTTCGTCACGTCACAAGATGAAGCAGGCCTGTCAGAGGATGCAAATGCGGGCAACAACGCACCATCCGACCCATATCCAAACATCCTCCTTACAAGCCCACTTCAAACTCCAACCTTCATACATGTTCATCAATTCGATCCTGATGATACAACTCGTGAAGCCCACAATTACAACAGCACATCACGCCAATCTCCGAATGCCGAGTTACCTCTAGACAACTCTTCGCAGGACGCCATCCCACCCGGTCATGACAGGGACTACGATATCATCGAAGTTACCACCTTCCACGACTACGACCGGCTCTACTACAAAAAGACCAACGGAACCGGCCTCCTCATCCTTGGGCTCGCAGTTGTTGTTCGCCACACCTCCCAAGGAACCCACCACCATTCACCAAGCTTGTGTGGCCCCGACAGTGAGAAGTGGAAGGCAACCATGGCAGCAGAATTTGCGACGCTGAAGAGCTGCGGAACATGGAAGCTGGTTCCACGATCATCAGCAAAGGGGAGAAACCTTCTCAACGGCATATGGGTTTTCCACATCAAAACACTTGCATATGGATCCATTGACAAGTATAAGGTAGTGCATTCCTATACGCACCAGTCCATGCCATCATCTTCGTCAAGCAGCCGCACGCCTTCGAAGAGAGCGACTGCGCTGTCTGCCTTCTCCAGAAATCCCTCTATGGGATAAAGCAAGCACCTCGTCTGTGGCAGCAGTACCTGCACAACGTTCTCACGGAGCTCGGATTCACTCAGCTGCTGCATGACCTCGGGATGTACCAAAAGAATTCGCAAGGCCGATTCATTCTTCTCGTTGCCTACGTCGACGACCTCCTCTACACCGGCGACGACACAGAGTTGCTCAACCGCTCTGAAGAAAAAATCAAAGAAAAGCTCGAAGTGACGATCAACCATAACGTCACGTAATTCCTGGGTCTCACATTACCCAATCCACCACCTCCATCCATCTCTACGCCGCCAAGTACGCAGAAACGCTCGCGAAGAAATTCGCCATCACACCTATAAATCTCACCACCCCCTGTTGAAATACATTTCTTATATAAACTGCTTGTAGCAATAGTTAGTGTAGTGTTACATTGTTGGTGGTGCACCTTGTGAGAATGAACGAGAATGAATTGACTAAGGGAAAGTTGGGTACAAGTACAAACCCTAGAAAGTCGTACCCCATATGTGCTACCCCACTATAGCCTACAATAGCTATGTCATATAAATCTGACACACCCCCATAGGCAAAGTGGGTGATAACAAGGGGTCACAAGACCAGTCAAGCAAAGCAAAGCAAGCTCAGGGTGGATCACAAAGTCACCACACATTCCGAGCACAAGTTCAAGGCCACAAGGCCAGTTCACATGCAGCATTACACATAAATATATATAAGGCTAGACAAGCAAGAGCAGGTGTATATATATATGTAACAGTACAAACAAGGTCAAGTGGTGAGCAAGTGAGGCAAGGTTGGCACAAGACCCAGCTGAGTACAGAAGCGCTGATGATCACAAGGCGCAAGCGCCTTGGTGAAGATATCAGCAGTGTTGGCCTCAGAGGCCACGTACGCAGGACGCAGCTGACCACGCTGTTGTAGCTCACGAGCAAGGAAGTAGAGAAGAGCAATGTGCTTCGTTATGTGCTCTGGTCTCTGCTCCCGACACAAGGCCAGCATGGCCTTGTTGTCTACGTACACCATTGGAGGAGAACGAGGCGGCTCTCCGAGGTCAGTCAGCAGGTAGGTGAGCCAGCGAAGCTCCTATGCAGCAATAGCTCCTGCGTAGATCTCAACCTCACAACTGGAGCCGAGAACAGAAGACAAGCGAGTAGCCCGCCACGAAACAGAGCCAGAACCAAGGCTGAAGGTGTAACCTTGTGACGACCGCTGCGTAGCCTGGTCGTCAGCCCAAGAAGCGTCTGCGTGCCTAGTGAGGACCACTGGACTCTGCCCTCCAAGCACAAGCTCCATGCCCAACGTACTGCACAAGTAGCGCAACACCCTCTTCGCTGCAACCATGTGCTCTGGTCTGTGTCTCCCAGGAGCAACATAGCGTGCCAAGATACTAAGAGGGTATGCAAGGTTAGGTCGTGTGCAGGTCATCAGGTACATGAGGCAGCCAACAAGCTCTGGGTACGGGCCACTCGGCTCTACGGACTCATCCGAAGGGAGAGGTGAGAGCGAGTGGCGAGTCGGCAGAGGAGTGGCCTTAGGCGAGGAGTACGTGAAGCCGAAGCGGTGAAGGACCTGTTGCACCATGTGTGACTGAGTCAGGGTAATGGTGCGGCGTGCTCTGTCCCGGGTGATCTGCAGGCCAAGGTAGCTGCGCAGTTCACCCAGGTCTGTGCACTTGTCTCTCTTCTGCAGCTCGGACTTCACGTAGGCGAGTCCAGCAGTGTCAGCTGTGGCAAAGACCAAGTCGTCGACGTACACGAGGATGTAGAACGGTGGCAAAGAGGTGTCGGTGCGCAGAAACAGCGACGGGTCGGCAGTAGAGGGAGCAAACCCAAGAGCCACAAGTGTAGTCCTCAGTGTATCATGCCACTCACGCGGTGCCTGGCAGAGACCGTAGACTGGCCGCCATAGGCTCCACTGGGTGCTAGGAGGAAATGACCCAGTGAAGCCAGGTGGGCGACGCAGCCAGATCTCCTCGTGCAGGCTGCCCTGCAAGAAAGCAGTGCTGAAGTCAAGAGAGTGCAGCTCGTAGTCAGGGTGAGCAGCTTTGTGCAGCAGTACCCGAAGAGTGGTCATCTTCAGGGTGGGAGAGAAGGTCTGAAAGTAGTCAACTCCCTGCCACTGACTGAAGCCACGAGCCACGTAACGCGCCTTGAAGACAGGCGGAGAACCCGGCGGCCGCTTCACCCTGAAAATCCACATGCCACTGACGATGTTCGCCTCAGGCCGGGGAACCTCGTCAACGTAGGTGCGTGTGGACTTCCATGAAGCCATCTCTGCGTCCATAGCTGCCTGCCACTGAGAGGAGTAGGGACCCTCTATCACCTCCACGTAAGAGCGCGGAGTCGAGATGTCAAGTGCATCCGGGTCTCCCTCAGGGGTAAGCAGTACGGACACGAGATGAGGTGAAGCAGCAGCCAAACACTGGAACTCCTCCTGCCTATCCTCAAGGACGTCCGTGCCAAGGGCACACTCACCCCCGATGAACGGAGGAGAAACAGACTCAGACGCAGTGACAAGACTAGCAGCGTAGTCTAGACAACAGCGAGCAGCAAAGTCGACGAGCTCAGCAACTAGGGCAGACGCAGCAGTGGACTCAAAGGAAGGGTCAGTGACGACAGTAGCAAGGAGACGCGTGACAGGCGGACTGATAGCACGAAGAGAGTCCGACTCCGGGTCGGCAAGAGCAAGAAGAGAGGACTCAGGAGGAGAAGGTAAAGGGGCACGTAGAGGAGCAGTGGACGGACGCAGAGACATCCGGTGCGTGCCAGGGACAGGAGGAGGACGCTGACGCGAACCACGACCACTAGTGCGAGCAGGACGGAAAGGCAACGCAGGGCGAGACGCAGGCTCACGACGCTCAACAAGACCTCCAGTAGGACTAGTGTAAGGAGAAGGAGCAGACAGTGGGGAGGCCGGCTGGAGCTGTAACTGTGACGGGACAGGCTGTGGACACTCTAAGGGAGGAGGAGGACCAGTAGAAGGCGGAAGACCAAGAACCTGCTGAAGGAGCGGAACAAAGTACGGCCGAGGCCGCGCGGCCACTCCAGACATTGCAGGGACAGCACCAGTACCCCCAGTGGTAGCACCACCGCCAGCAGCACCTCCAACTCCAGCACCCCAAGTAGCTCCAGAAGCTCCAGGACCTCCAGCAGCACCAGTAGCACCCCCAGCAGGAGCGCCTCCAAGACCGACAGCAGTAGACTCAGCGCCAACACCCTCAGCAGCTCCAGCTCCAGTCGTACCCGCAGGCCCTGCAGCTCCTGTACTCCTAGTACGAGCACCTCCGGGACCCGCGACACCAGCACCCTCAGTAGCCGAAGAACCTCCAGCTCCAGCAGCACGGCTCCAACGCCGGGCAAACCATTCGCGCAGCTCCTGTGGAGAGAGTGGCTCCCGCCAAGACGAAGCACCCGAAGAACCTCCAGGCACAGTACCGCCAGACGCAACACGAGCAGGCCCAGCTCCCCCAGGCTCCGCACCCCCAGGCTCAGCACCTCCAGGCGTAGAACCCCCTTGCTCAGCACCCCCAGTCGTAGCACCCCCAGGCTCAGCACCCCCAGGCGTAGCACCCCCAGGCTCAGCACCCCCAGGCTCAGCACCCCTAGTAGTAGCACCCTCAGGCTCAGCACCCCCATGCGTAGCACCCACACGCTCAGCACCCCCAGAGTCAGCACCCCCAGGCTCAGCACCCACAGCAGCACCCAAGTCACCAGCAACCTCGACAGGCTCGACTGCGTCTACGTGGGACACACCTGAAGAGGCAGGACCCTGAGGGGGAGGGAGTCTACCGGGGGGGGACCTGGCACAAGGAAGAGCGGTGGCGGGGAAAGGGACGGAGTGCGGTAGGGGAAGAGGCGGTAGTAGGGGACTCACTCGTCAAACGTGACGTCCTGGGAGGACAGAACACGGCGAGAGGTGGGGTGGTAGAACTGCCACCCTGGCGCGTCAGGGGGGAAGCCAAGGAAGATGCAAGGAGCAGCACGAGGGGACAGCTTGTCCGCAGACAAGTCGCGGACAAACGCCCGAGATCCCCGGACACGGAAGGCAGACGCATCGCCAACCTTCCCCGTCCACAGCAAAGCTGGGGAGGTCTCCGGCATGGAGACCCTGGGCTGAAGGTTGATCTGATGCGCCGCGTACCGAACCGCAAACGGCCACAAAATCTGGGGGGCCGCCGCATGCATCATGGACGTACGAGCGACGTCCATGACCATGCCAATGCGGCGCTCAGCAATCCCATTTTGGTGCGGAGAGTCCGGAAGCGTGAAGGTCTGGCGGATGCCTCGTGCACGACAGTGTGCTCGTAGAAGGCCAGAGGAGAACTCTCCGCCTCTGTTAGAGTGCAAACGTAGAACAGGACAGTGCGAGCCGAAGCTCTGCTTGAGCTTGAGACGAGCTGCGCGGATCCAGTCGATCAACACCTCAGTGACATCACCCTTGCTGCGCAAGGGAAAGACTGTGGTGTAACGCGAATAGTCGTCAACCACCAGCAGGAAGTAGCGCTTGTGACCCTGTCCACGAACGCGGGCTGGGCCCCACACGTCCATGTGAAGCGTCTGCAGCGGGGCCTATGTCGGAGGAAACTGGGAGGAGTGAGGGGCAGCACCCTGCCGCCCCTCGACGCAGGGGACGCAGGCAGGGGCAGGCCCCGGGGGAAGGGGAGGGAGGGACCGGGGAGGACCAGAGACAAAGACACAGGAGGCCATGCCTCGGAGACGAAGCAGGGAGGGGTGACCAAGGCGGTGGTGCCAGAGGAGAATCTCGTGAGACAGGAGGCGACACGAGCAGGGGGCAGACTCAGACCAGACCTGGACGCTGCAGCAAACACCTGACCCGACGCAGCTACCTGACCAGACGCAGTGACAAGAGGAGACTCAGTGGTCGGTGAGTAAAGGCTCGACCCCGGCCGACGTGTAAACGTGGCCAGGTGTCGGCCTATCCGAGCGTCCGTGTAGTGGGTCACCCGCTGACTCGCAGGAGTGAACTGGTGAATCCCCGCATCCTGTAAGTCAGCACCACTCACCAAGTTCGTAGAGAACGAAGGGAGATAAAGACCAGACAGGGTGCCAGAGGGGGCCGCCGGACACGGGAGGACAATGGAGAAGTGAGCAAGGACAGGACCCCCAGAGGGGTCTGCCAGAGAGACTGCAACTGGCCGACCAAGCGGCGTGAGTGTGGTGCGGTCTCGAAAGAAGGAGCGAGAAGCCCCCGAGTCAAGGGTGAAGGTGTGGGAGGCCGAAGCCGTCGCGGTACCTGAGAGAGCAGACTCACCAGCACCTGAGGAAGCAGAGGCATTGGCACCTAGAGCAACAGCCTCGCTAACACCTAGAGCAGTAGCCTCACCAGCTTCTAGAGCAGCAGTCTCAATGCCCAAGTCGGGCGGAAAGCACCGGTAACAGTCACCCTCATCACTAATAGTCACAGCATACATGGCAGCAAGAATAGCATCAAAGTGAAGGTCAAAGATAGCTACTCCCGCCCTAGACAGCTCGCCGCAGCGAGGGATCTCAGTGGCCTCAGGAAACTAGTGACACCAAGCGTCCGCAAGGAGGCCAAAGCAGCGCTGGGTGGAGTGCGCACCCCCGCACTGCTTACCCGCGCGGTCGCTGTTGCGTAGAACGTAGGTGTACGGACCAGTACCCCCACCCCGCTGGCGTGCAGCGTACCACTCACGGAGCTGCTGAGGGGGGGGGATGTCACGAGTGCGCTGCTGCTGCTGGCGCTGACCACCACCGGAGCCGACCCTCTGCGCAGCGCCACCCCGACCAGCCCCGCCGCCTCCGCCGCCGCCTCCTTCTCCGCCGCCACCTCTGCCACCTCCGCCCCCACCGCCACCGCCGCCTCCGCCTCCGCCTCCACTGCCGCCACCGACACCTCCACCCCCGCCACCACTCCCACCACCACCCCCACCCCCTCCACTGCCGCCACTGCCACCTCCGCCACCCCCTCCAGCCCCTCCAGCGCCCTTGCCCCCCTTGCCCTTGCCGGTGCGGCGTCTCCCGCTCGGGGCAGACGCAGCGCCGACCGACTCGAAACCAGCGAGGTCGGCCGCAGCAGCAGAGGCAACAGAGGGCAAAAGGGGGGAGGGGGAACACCCCTCAAAGACGGGGGTGCGAGGGTCACCACGAGAGGCTCCTACAGCGACTATGCTCTTCTCTGCCACTAGGAGGGCCTTCTTGAGGAGGTCAACGGTGAGAGAGGTGGGGCAAACTGAGAGGAAGTGGTCCCTAACTTCGCGGAGAGAGTCAGGGAGCCGAGTGACTATGTAGTAGAGCGTGATGTACATGGGGGGGGGGGGTTCTTGGCGCAGAACTCAGCAAGAAGCGCAGCGCGGTAGCGAGTGTCACTAGTGCAGAGATGCGCAATGAGGTCAGCAACCGTGGGAAAGGCAGCAAGGTCAGGGAAGAGGTACGGTAGCATGAGGCGGCTCAGTGCAGCAGTGGCAGGGGAGGAGTAGCGTGCAACTACAGCGTCGTACAAGGTCTGAGCACTTTTGTACTGGCTAAAGTGTGCACGCTCAGAGGTAGGCAGGTGGTGACGCATAGCAAGACGTGCACTAGCATCGCGTGTGGCCCACTGTGAGCGAGCAGTGGCGTCAGCATCAGCAGCAGGGGCAGGAGAGGCACCAGAAGTGAGGTCAAAGAGGGAGAGACCGTCTGCCCTATCGCACTATAGGAAAAGCTGCAGGTCATCTACCCAGACGTCAAAGTCAATGGCCCGACCCTCAGCGTCAAAAGCGAGGATACTAGGGGTAGCCATGACAGCAGTAGACTAGCAGCGCGAACAGTAGGGTAAGGGCAGTGCAGTGATAGAGGCGCTACTCTTACCAGACAGGGTGGCTCGGGCGGCTTGGCGGCTCGGCGGCTTGGCAGGAAACGCAGCTCGGCGACTCGGCGGCTCTGGTGGCTAGGGCGACTCGGCGGTACGGCGGCTCGGCAGCAACTGCGGCTCGGCGTCTCGGCGGCTCTGGCGGCTCGGGCGGCTCGGCGGTACGGCGGCTCGGGTGGCTCAGGTGGCGCGGCGGCTTGGGCGGCTCGGGTGGCTCGGGCGGCTCGACAGTAGCTCGGCGGCGCCGGCGGCCGCGTGGGGACGGCGGCGGGGCCGGTAGAGGCGGCGCCGGGGCCGGGAAGGGTAGCACCGGGGCCGCAGGGTAGGCACTGGGGCTGTAGGGTAGGCGCCGGGGCAGCAGGGTAGGCACCGGGGCCGCATGGTAGGCGACGGGGCCGCAGGGTAGGCGACATGGCCGTAGTGTAGGCGCCGGGGCTGCAAGGTAGGCGACGGGGCCGCAGGGTAGGCGACGGGGCCGCAGGGTAGGCGCCGGGGCCGCAGGGTAGGCGACGGGGCCGCAGGGTAGGCGCCGGGGCCGCAGGGTAGGCGCCGGGGCCAGCAGAGGCGGCGCGGAGGCCGGGAAGGGCGCCGCCGGGGCCGGAAAGGGGGGGGGGGGGTGGGCGGGGCCGCAGAGGTAGGCGACGGGGCCGCTAGGGCGGCTAGGAGGGGGGGGGGTCGCGAGGGCGGCTTGAAGAGGCCGCGAGGGCGTCACGAAAGGGCCGCTAGGGCGGCGCGAACGGGCTGCGAGGGCGGCGCGACGCGACGCAGCCGCGAGGGCGGCGCGACAGGGCCGCGAGGGCGGCGCGACGCGGCCGCTAGGGCGGCGCGACGTGACGGGGCCGCTAAGGCGGCGCGACAGGGTCGAAAGAGGGGAGCACGACTCAGGCAGAGTAGAGCGCGCTCCGAGCAGGAAAAACAAAGGTGGTGGGCCCTAGGAACAGTTCCCATAGGGGAACCTGCTCGATACCATGTGAGAATGAATGAGAATGAATTGACTAAGGGAAAGTTGGGTACAAGTACAAACCCTAGAAAGTCGTACCCCACTATAGCCTACAACAGCTATGTCATATAAATCTGACACACCTTGCTAGCTTTGTTTGCTATATGCACTCTTATGCCTATAGTGAACACATCCTTTCTTCTTCACAACTCTCTCGACTTCCTCTTGGCCTAGGCTACTAAGCCTAGGCCCTACTTAAAACTCAACTACCACTTATGCTCCTATCTTAACATGGCATTAGAGCTTGTTACGTCCTGGCCTGTGGGCCCGCCTTACGCTTCCGCTACTTTCCTTCCGGTCGCGCGCCTCGGGCGCGTGGCGATTTTTGTCTCGCGCACGGCCTGCTTTAACGCCACCTGTGCGCCTACCCCAGGTCTTCGCGCGGGCCTGTTCTGCCCGCCCGTACCCTCGCGGCCCCTTCGCGGCCTCGTCGCCGCCCCTAACGGCCTCGTCGCCGCCCTTCTCGGCCATTCGCAGCCCCTTTGCGGCCCCGTCGCCGCCCCTTCTCGGCCCCTCGAGGCCCCCTCTCGGCCCCGTCGCCGCCACTAGCGGCCCCGTCGCCGCCACTAGCGGCCCCGTTGCCGCCTCTAGCGGCCCCGTCGCCGCCCTTTGCGGCCCCGTTGTCGCCTTTAGCGGCCCCGTCGCCGCCTTTCTCGGCCCTGTCGCCGCCCTTTTCGGCCCCGTCGCCGCCTTTCGTGGCCCCGCCACCTGCTCGTCGCGGCGCCCCCCCCCCCTGGCCGCCGCCTCTGCCTCCCCTGCGCCCGCGCCTGCTTTGCAGCAGCGCGCGGGCCTGCTTTGCACCGGTGATGCCGCCCCTGCAGCAGCAGCCCCAGCAGCAGCCGCCCCTGGAGCAGCCGTCCCTGGAGTAGCCGCCACTGCAGCAGCCGCCCCTGGAGCAGCTAGCCCTGCAGCAGCAGCCCCTGGCCCCTGGAGCAGCCGCCGTTGCAGCAGCCGCCCCTGGCCCCTGGAGCAGCCGCACCTGCAGCCGCCTCTGGCCCCTGGAGCAGCCGCCACTGCAGCAGCCACCCCTGGCCCCTGGAACAGCCGCATTTGCAGCCGCCCCTGGCCCCTGGAGCAGCCGCCCCTGGCCACTGGAGCAGCCGCTACTGCAGGACCCGCCCCTGGCCTCTGGAGCAGCCGCCCCTGGAGCAGCCGCCCCTGGAGCAGCCGCCACTGCAGCAGCTGCTCCTGGACCCGGTGCAGCCGTGGGGGGGGTGGGTATGGGGGTGGCGGGTGTGGGGGTGATGAATGTGAGAGGTATGGGGGTGGCGAGTGTGGGGGTGATGAGTGTGGGACAGGTGGGGGAGGTTGAGTGGAGGTGGGCGCCGTGAAGCCAGCAGCTCCAGTCACCCGTGAGACCGTTGTGCCAGTCGCCCGTGAGCCCGTCGCTCCAGTCGCCCGTGAGCCTGTTGCTCCAGTCGCCCGTGGGTCAGTTGCTCGTGCCGCTTGTTTAGCCGCGGAGCCAGTTACTCCAGTTGCCTGTGTGCTAGTTGCTCCAGTTGCCAGTGTGCCTGTTGCTCCAGTTGCCCGTGTGCCAGTTGCTCCAGTTGCGCCGTGTGTCTGCAGCTCCCGTCGTCGCCTCTCATCTCCACTCCTCTCACAGTCCCGCATCCTCCTCCTCACTTGCTCTCTCCTTTTGCTACGCTTGGTGTACCCCTTCAGGGGGTGTCTCTGCATTGGCTTCCTGCTGCAAGCAGTTTAGGGGGTGTGTTGAAATACATTTCTTATATAAACTACTTGTAGCAATAGTTAGTGTAGTGTTACATTGTTGGTGGTGCACCTTGCTAGCTTTGTTTGCTATATGTACTCTTGAGCCTATAGTGAACACATCCTTTCTCCTTCACAACTCTCTCGACTTCCTCTTGGCCTAGGCTACTAAGCCTAGGCCCTACTTAAAACTCAACTACCACTTATGCTCCTATCTTAACACCCCCTTTCGCACTCCTCCTCCTAATCACGAACCCGATACCATGCCGCTCTGAGTCGACGATCATCGGCTCTACCAACAGCAGCTGGGATGCCTCCTGTTCGCCGCCATCACGTGCCGCCCCGATCTCTCCTACATCGCGAGCCACCTTGCCCAGTACCTGAAGGGGAGAATCTACTGGATCTACTCCGAGCATTTCAATACTTTGTCTCTACCCCTGACGTCAAACTCACCTACGAAGCTAACCTAACCGTTACCCTACAGCTCTATTGCTACGTAGACGTAGATCACGCAGGAGATATTGACAACAGACGCTCCCGCAAAGGATTCATTTTTCAGCTCCAACCTGCTGGACTCATCTCTTGGAACTCCCAGAAGCAGAAGCTCATCGCGCTTTCGTCAGCCGAAGTTGAGTTCATCGCCGCTAGTGCAGCTGTTCGCAAAGGACTATACCTGATGGAGCTCCTGCAAGAAGTGAAAGTGACGATGAACGAGCACTTCACGTTACTCTGTGACAATCAGAACACGATCAAGATCGCGAACAAGCCCGCCTTCGTGAACCACACAAAACACATTGAACTTCGTTACTTTTTTGTCAAGGACAAAATCGACAAAGGCAAGGTCAAACTCACCTACTGCCCAACTGGTGACATGGCAGCAGATTTCTTGACCAAGAAGCTGCCACGTCAGAAGTTTCAGCATTGCATCGACCTCTACGGGATCTTAAAGAAATTCCACGTGGCTTATCTTCATAAATGAAGGGGATTATTGGAATAAACATCAGGTTATCGTAACATTCTCGAAGGCTCTCCATCCACACGTCACTCCATAACGAAGCAACGCATCTGTACTAGTACCGCAATAGCTCATATAGAGCATGCGGAAGATCGAGAGTCACTCGAAGGTCAACAGTCGAAAGATAGTCAACGGTTGTGACTCTTGATCTCCAATAACCGCACTTGGTAATTACGCGATGCAACATGGTAACTGTCAAGAAGAGCAATTGTCGTGGTTACTGTAGCAATGTAATTCAGTTAATAAAGGAATGTACCCCTTAGAGTACATGGCTAGCTAGATTGCTATTTAGACCCTTGTGTCAGAATGCTAATATTGTCTAGTCTGTAGTGGGGTATTAAGTAGTGAGTACAACTCTGTTAGGGTTTCGTATTTGTATCCCCTCTGCCTGCTAGTGCAATCTCTCTTCTGCTGTTCACATCCCTCCTCGTTAGTTCTTGACATGGTTTCAAAGCTCGTTCGATCCTGGCCTATGGGCCCACCCTATGCTTCCGTTGCTGTCCTGCCTATCGCGCGCCCCGGGCGCGCGACGCTTTTTGTGTGCCGCGCGCTCGGGGCGCGCGGCAGTTGGCGGTTTTCTGCTCGGCGCGTCGCCCCACTTGACCCGTGCCCCGCCCCGTGGGACGCGCGCGCCGCCCCTGTTGGACCCGCGCAACGCCCTGCGGGACCCGCGCGCTGCCTCGCTGGACCCGCGCAACGCCCTGCGGGACTCATGCGCCGCCCCCCGCTGGACCCGCGCGACGCCCTGCGGGGCCCGCGCGCTGCACCGCTGGACCCATGTGACGCCCTGCGGGACCTGCGCGCCGCCCCTGCTGGACCCGTGCGCCGCCCCTGGGGACCTGCGTGCCGCCCCTCCTGGACCCGGCAGCCCGCCCGCACCCTGCACGTCGCGACGCCGCCTTCCCTCCCCCCCTCCTCCTTCGACTTCCTGTTGCGAGTGCAGCCGTGTGGAGGGTATGGGGGTGGCAAGGGTAAGGGGGGGTATGGGGGTGGTGGGAGTGCGTGACCAGCTGCCCCTCCTCCTCCTCTCTCTCCCACTGCTACAGCTGTCGCTAAGGGGGGGGATGGAGTGGGTGAGGTTGGGGAGTGGCGCTAGCTGGGGGGGATGTGAGAAAAGGGTTTGGGGACAATGGGGGGAGGTTGGAAAAGAGGTAGCCGCTGTGTCGCCTCCTGCTCCAGTAGTCCAGGGCCCTTGCTCCGGTAGCACGTGAGCCCGTTGCTCCAGTCGCCCGTGGGTCCGTTGCTCCAGCCGCTCGTCTAGCCGCGGAGCCAGTTGCTCCAGTAGTCCGGGGCCCTTGCTCCGGTAGCCAGTGTGCCAGTTGCTCCGTTGCCTGTGTGTCAACAGCTTCACCTGCCGCCTCCCAACTCCCCTCCTCTCGTAGTCCCTCCTCCTCCTCACTTCCCCTTTGCTATGTCTGGCACTAGGGCTAATTTGTGAACTTGCTCTATGGCTGCTTGTTGTGCTGATTACACCCCACTTTGCTTATGGGGGTGTGTCAAAATGTTAATATTGTATAGTCTGCAGTGGGGTACTCAGTAGTGAGTACAGCCCTGTTAGGGTTTCGTATTTGTATCCCCTCTGCCTGCTAGTGCAATCTCTCTTCTTCTAGTTCTTGACACCTTGTACTCATATCTGTTAATCATCTTGTTTTCTTTCAAACTATTATTAACAAGGTCACTATTAAGAGTTC